AAAAAATAGCATGGTAGAGAAGGTGCAACATTCGGAGAATTAACCTAAACAAAGGCACCACTTTAATCGTACTAACTCTTGTTAGAAACATGCCCAGTGTTGTTATAGTATTCACTGAAACAGAAGAGTGCTGCCTATCTACTGATAACTGCAACAACCAACCACTTCTTGCAGCATATATTAGTCTTCCTTCCAAATATTAAACAGACCTGACTTGGCTTAAATATGAGCCTATTATAATAACTATAATATCTGAAGAATTCACAGATCAGGGTCTCAGTCTAATAGCTCACAGTACATGCCAAGTTCTGCAGGTCTAATAATTAAGTTTAACTGCTCTTGCAAACTCAACTTTTTGCCACTTATGATGTGTCTATGTTAATACCGTGCAAGGACACTTTCTTGGAGTTGATCCATTCTGATCCCACATCCTCACTAGCAACAAAGAGGTAAATTCCCTTCTAAGGGGTCTCATTTAGGCCTTCAAAACAAACAAAAAAATAGCTATAGGCTAAACTGTACTCTCATTTTCACTGGTAAATCTAGACTAACTCAATTGATTAAACCTCAGCTGGTCAGTTAAACCAGCTTCACGGTCCCTTTCAGCTGGCACAAAGAAGGTTGTAAAGCAGCCAAGAATTTGGCCTTCAGGGTTTCCTGGCTGGGTTAGCTATATAACTACAAGGGTGTGTTCAGTGTACTGTCCCTTTAAGAGTGGAAAAATTAGCTCTCCTAACCATTCTGGTGGGGTATTCTTTGTAGTCCGAGATGACTGCCACAAAGTGACTCAAATATACTGTTTGCTCATGGAGACTTTATTTCTGTTCCTTTATTCCTCTGCTGTTTCTCTGTATCTAAAAATAAAAGTCAAGCAGAAGTAAAGTACCTTTTTGCTCTTTCTCTGTGGAATAACATCACCCTGGCTCCACAATTGTTATTTTTAGTGTAGGGCCTACTGTGGCTCTGAGTAAGGAATCTGGAAATGGACACAACATACTAAGAGCAGTTTTAAGACAAAGAAATCCCCTCTCTTTTGAGCTTTATTTTACAATAATAAAAAAAGATATGCATTTCCTTTTGGTTAGGTCCGACCTAGTATATATTGACTGCTAATTAAAATACGTGTTCTTAGGAGCATTAAAAATTCAGTCTTCCATCCAACTTCGGAAGAAATGACTAATACCAGTGTAATTACTAATTACATATACCTAAATTCATAAGAGAAGATGATGAAGGCTTTTGCAGAATAGTTTTAAAACTAAAACTCCACCTACCATTGTGGTAATATTAGTGTGTCAGAGTTGTCATAGAACTGTTTTGAACAAAAAAATAAAGTATGTCTAAAATATAAAAAGAAAAAAAAGCTTAATGCCTGCATACACAAAAGCAATGATCTAAGGGAAATCACCAGTTGCTGTTCTGTGAGGTATAAAAATAAATTCTTGTCTCCTTTACTTTTACATCCACTGACAAGTGACTATATTAGCATTAAGCAAAAAAGCAGATGAAAAGTAATGTCTTTTATTTAGCACCTACCTGAAACATATTTGAGTTTTCTGCACAGGGGTTTGAAATCATGTAATAAGACATTGTGTGACAATATCTGCCCATTGTGCATTCACTCTAGTAGGCAACATTTTCACCAGCTCTTGGGAGCAAAGCTAGAACAAATAACTCCATACTTCTTCATCTTTTTTTTTTCAACCTTGTCAATTTATGTGTCTATAAAACTCTGTGTTTGTTTCTTAAAAAATAGTAGGGGGCTGGGCCCTCTGCTTGCTATCCTCACCTACCACCCACCCCCGTCTCTCTGGCCACTTTCACTTCACTGAGAGATCCTGTTGATGCTGATGATGTGATGATGTCATTCTGTTGCCCAGCAGGAACATTCTATCGTCTGGCAGGAAAAACTTTTTTATATATAAAGAGAGAGAAATGAAGATACCTTTCCATCAAGTAGTCTGGTGGATACAACTCATTTTAATATACCTAAAATTTTGAACTATGCATTATTTCTAAATGAAGCACATGTGTGCTGCAGTGTAGAAAACATAAATGTGCTGATAGAAGAGACTCCCCTTGTTTGTTAGCAGTGATATTGGAAAAAATCCATCTCTCCTAGCAGGACAGTCTCATCATATTAAAAGTTATGGATTTCTTGCTTAAGCATTCTACACTAGCTGTAGAGCTGTATAAACTTACTTCTGCTTATCAAGCAAGCCAACAATACACAAACAGAAAATTTAACATCTTTTAACATTTCTTCCTTCATATGGGAGTTCTTCTGAAATGAGTTCTTCAATTATCCTGATGGATCTGTTTAGTGAATTGGTACTGTTTTCTGGCTTACAAAGCCAGTGCATTACTATGCAACACTGTGTACTGAAATGAGATCAACATCATTGCATTACTACATTTTAAGCAGAAGTTAGCATGTTATAAAAATTATAAAGACAGACTCACAGAGTTAGGTATTCCAATGATGAATAAAAAAAGAAAAACCTGATTTACACAAGATGACAGAAAATGATTCATTTCAAAATAAAGTAGCAATAGTGTTTAATTTGTGTGTGCATATATATTTTTAAAGTGTGGTCACTTTATTTTGAAATGAATCATATATATAGCAAGAATTACTTACTAATTAATTATCAGAAAATCCATTCTGAAAATGTTTTTGAACATCCATCTTTGTGCTGAATGTGTGATACTACTATGAAAAATATTTGCATCTGTAACTTTCCAAATTATTAAGCCACTAAGGTTTTCCTATCTCAGAACATTTTATCAAGACAATTAATTCATAGGTGTCCCATCCCTACCCAATGATCTTTGGTTGCATTCATGCGTCTGTGTGCGTATAGATTTGTAGTCTTTACATTGTAAAAAACTTCAGAATTGTTTGACCCTGTAAACACAAAATTCATGTCTCTCACCCTGGGACAAAAGCATTCTTTTTAAAAGCAGCATATGGGCAGCCTTGGACTGATGTTAGTTTATTGTCACTGCTTGATAACGTTTAATGGAAAAGATACAAGAGTGCCAAAGAATTTTAATTATTTTTGTGATAAAGTTATATGTTCAGCCTTGAAAAAGTGAAGATAATGCTGGGATTCATTATTATTCCCAGTGTGTTTAAACAGACGACACAGAATGCAAACAAAAGCAGATGAAATTTGAAAAGTATTATCAATATTGCAGATAGCAGATGCCCTTTCCAATCAGAACAAGCATATCTTCTATAGCAACTTTATGGTTGAGTAGTTTATTCATTTCGATTAGAAGGTTGTACGTTTCTAAAATATGTAGATGGTATCTAGAAAACCAACCAACCAGTAGGGTCATTTTGCTTGTTTTCCTAAATTTATTATTTCACTTTTGCAGACTTGATCTGAGGTGCATTAACATAGGAGTGAAATCTTATTATGTCAAATTCTATCTTGTATATGACCTTTCATGTGTTTCACTATGGTTCTGAGAGGGAAATAGTAAGTGGTGTCTATTCTGCAGAGTTTTACTAGAGTCATCCGTGTGATAGTATAGTTAAAATAGGACCAGCTTTTCTGGAAACTTTCTCTATTTGTGGTTGTACAACTGGGAAATAAAACTTTGCTCTGCATGAAGCATGCCACTGAAAGTTTTATCTTTGGTGCAGTTTTTGAAATAAAATGTGAAGACAATTGGTTAAATTTAAAATTTAATACAGATTGGAAAAAGGCCTGTTACAACATCAAATACAATTCCTTGCCAGGACATCAAATCTCCGGATAAAAGACTTTAAAATGGGTAAAAAAAATATATAATAATAATATCAAGATTTTCAAAACTGGCTGCCTAACATTTAGATTCCTAAGTCAAATAGAGCCAGATTTAATGACAGAAGAACATCATATATTTTAGTGACACATTTTTAAAGCTTTAAACTATTATTGCAGACTTATACATTGTCTATTTTGAAAAAAATAAACCTTAAAAGTTGTTTTGCAGCATATTTTAAGCTATGAAATCAGAACCTCAAGGCCCCAATTCTGCTAAGGGAACTGTAAGCATAGTCTTTGTATGGGTGGGTCATGGGAATTGGGGTCCAGTTTTAGAATCTTCAGAAATATACTGAACAATTTCCTACTATACATTCTCATGCAAGTCCTATTTTTGCATTAACTTTTTGTCTGTTCAGTAACATCCTAGCCAATTAAATATACTTGTGGACCTGAGCCATAATTAAAGTTGCAAATCTGTAGTCCACTTTAAAACTGCAAATTAGGGACTCTCTATACATAAGCACGCAAACTAAAAACAAGGCTTACTAAAAAGAAAAAAAGAAAGAAAAAAAATCCTCATTGGAGAGGATTTTAAAAGACTTCTTTGTGACCTTGATTTCAGGCATCAATATAAGGACAATGAGTTCTTTTTAAAAAATTGCATTAACATTCAGTGCTTGAGCTTGATAAAAAAAATCCAAAATTAAAAAAAAAAAAAAAACACAGAAGAAAAATCAGGTCAGACCTTACGTTTAAGGTCAATGGGAGTTTTTCATGAATAAGATGCTATAATGAAAGTAAGCATTCCCACCAGTGATTATTGAGAACCAAGGAAGTTGTGAGAAGCTCTGCTATTTATTTAATAAGGGCCACTGTCAGAATTCTCTCTCACTTACTCTAAGAACCAAGTTCAGGTCCTAGTGGGATGAAATGGGAATGTAGTTACTATGGCCCAGATCCACAAGGTATTTAGGCTCTTAATTTTCTTTAATTCAATGGAAATTAGGAGATATCACTTAATTTGTAATGAAAGAGGTACTGGAGTTTCAGCCATTTTTTTAATATTCATAACACAGCAAGCCCAGAGCTATGAACTGCCAACCATAGAGGGGCCAGCACAAAGTAAGCTCTGTTTGTAAAGCTGGGGCTAGCTGCTGCCTGAATCCTATATTTCCCAGGGTACACTTTGTTTGAGTCTTCCTCATTTAGGTACAAACTTTTTTTTTCTTTCCAACTTAGCCTCTCCAAGGGGGCAATTCCCTTAGACCAACAAAGAAGGAATCTCCTCAAACAAAATCACAGCTCAGGTGAGTTCATTGAATACAACATGCACAGTCCTATCAAAGTCAAATACAGCAACCACCCAGTTATTACCAAACCCATGCAAAAACAGACTTTGCAGGTGTGAGTAACATAAAGAGATTTGATTATAAGTGGCTCTGAAACACAAATGTTTCCAAAGTTTAGGGAAAGCAGTAGATGTTAGAATATGAGCTCCCCTAATCAAGATTTACATTATGTGGGCACATTTTTATAACTCCTATAAATCCTTAGCACATGGTTGGGGCTGAAATAAATAAATAAATAATGATGTGCTAAGCCAAAACCCCAGATCAGAACTACCCTGACTTTTTTTTTTTTTTTTTTGAGGATTAGGGAACTGGATAGTTGAAATTTTGACTAGAAGCTAGAGCCACATATTGCAGCTTGTGCTCACTTCTGGTGTTTCTACAGGACACTGCCCTCTTTATTGCTAAAGAACATAGCTCCCTGGTTTCTCTTTAAATTTGGGTTTCCTCTGATGAAGTGACTGGCTGATTTCCAAAGTGATAACTGCCTTTTTTCAGCTGCAAGGGTATAGCACCATCAGCTTGTCTCTATTACCCTTTTGCAGGGCAAGCTGGGCTTGTCAAAGGCAGCCTTTTGTATTCATGAGTAATACATTCTCAATTCTTCTACAGAGAAAGGAAGAGGCTCAGATGCCTGATTCTCCCAGAAAGGATCAATTCCTCACCCTCCCTGGAAAGTTATTTAAAGAGCACTAAAGACATGCTCTGAAACAAACTTACTGAGAGGTGAGGATGGGACATGGTGTTGGCAATTCCTAGGATTTTATTATGAGTTTCATGTTGTTGTCTTCATAAGGCCCTGACTTACTTGATGGTATAAGAATTTCAGCTCTCATTTAAGCAAAGCACTTGTTAGCTTTCATGATTGTGAGAGAAGCTTGACAATGTGATCCCGCAAGGCATGAAGCCCTCCCCCCTGCAAATAAAAAGAAACCCCATGTTTGCTATTTTTAAAATGTCATGATTTTTATATTAGTGATTGTTGGGAGGCCTGACTCGTGATTTTTGAATGCTTGAGATTGGCAGTGCTGGAAACAGAGTTTGACTCTCTAAAATAATGGTAAGAGATTGAACTTGATTTTCTGTATCTGCTTAACTGGTATATGTGAGGGTTGCAAATGGTTAGTCTGTTTTGTCACTTGACAGCAATCAGTGTCCACTGATTTCTGTGGTGTAGGGCTGCATTCATGCAGAATGCTGAAATATGGATGGTTTGAGGTGCATCAGCTCAGTCACCTCAGCTACTCAGATTTGCAAAGCGCAAAACTTTCCGCTGCTGGTGTCTTTCCTTCATTTGACCTCCCAAGTCTTTGGGATGGGTCAAATGTCCCTGACTGCAGTTCTCTTTGGTCTTTAGTCAGCAAGCTTGTTCTTTCCTTCCACAAACCCCTGAGGGGTATAAGCGGGGCAGTGTCTACACTAATCTTAGAAACAGACTTTATTGAAGAAAGCCTGATCTACCTAGCCAAGAGGTCAGCAGGAGCTCAGGGCAACAGTGGGGATGGGGTTCATATAGGCTCAGGTGCTACATAAGATACTTAACTGTGCTGCCTAACCCAAGCCCTGTGATATAAACCTTACCAAATTCACTTCCTATAATCCATGCAATCCGAAGCCAGCAAGGTTTGCACAGTCATGAGAATATGAGATGCACATCATTCTAACCCAGTTTCTATATTAATGTCCCCAGTATAGCTTTCACTTTCCTTCTTGTGAACATTATTAACTCTCTCTGTCTTGCCTTACAGCCCTTATTGTGCATTTAATATAATTCTGTAGTGTAATGTTACAATATATACATACCTATTCTTCGACTATTGCATAGGCTGGGTGCTGTTTATTGTAAAGCCCACATCAAGGATCTGAAATTTCAGTGCTTGGAAAAGATTTCACCATGTTTATGGTTGTGCAGTGTCATTCAAAACACCTTTGGTTACTTAACAGACTCACAAAATAAATGTTCTCTATACATATAAAGGCATTTTTAGAAAGTTAAATGTTGAGTGCTGTAAAATGCTTAGTCATAGTCTTCCCAGCCAACAGAAAAGGGCCTGTGACTACTCCATGCCTTGCTGTGTTGGACTGTGATAACTTTAGGGAAAACCGTGTCCATCAAAAATGACAACTTGTGCTGATCTGCTGCAACATGCTCACAATGCCATCTGTTAAAACACGTCACCACTATATGTATGGAGATGTATTCTACAACAGACATAGGTCTGTACCTCAGAGTTGCTGGGATGCAAGAGGCACACAAAGGAAAACTGTAATAAGTGCAAAGTATAATTCAATTTACTCTGAGAACTGTCAGAGTCAGTTAAATCAGCCCAGTTTTGATATCATTATTTAACCACTAGACTAAATAAGATTTGTGGAAGTCCAGCACTGAATCTGCTTGCTTGGTGAAGTTAGATGAGCAGCGCTAGTCATCTGTTCAGTTTAATGCATGAATGTGATGGTCATATCAGAAAAACATCTTAAATACAGACAAAAAGCAGACAAGATTCAGTGGAATTGTGCAACTGTTGGTGCCCTCAGCATAGGCAAGGCCTGGACTTAGGTTACAGTTCCTGTTTTTTGTCTCCTTCATCTGAGGTCTTGAGTTGAGCTAGTTAAACATCCACTCTTCCAATTGTAAACAAAGGTGTGGGGTCGCCAGAGAATACAGCTGCTCCAGCTGTGTAGTTTTGATAGCTATTTCACTGTGGAGTCAATAATCAGAACAGTGAACAGTAACATACATCCCTCTGGTGAATCAGAGGGAGGGACAGTTTTCCAGATTCAGGAAAATGGATTTTAAAAATGAAGACATAATTGGGGGGAGGGGAACAAAGGTGTAAAATATGCTTGGAAAAGCTCACTGGGTAGAATATCATCTATTGGCTCAAGCAGTTTTCCTGGTTAAGTGATCTGCAAAATAACTAGGTGCTGCTGGAAACATTTGGGAATATTAACACTGCAACTATAGTACAACCAGAGCTAAGGCATTTTTTTCAGTGAATTATTATGGATCTATCTCTGTTGGAATCCAGAAGTACTGAAATACAAGGGAGAGCTTGGTTTGGTATTTCCAATGTAGCTAGAAGCAGAAAGCACTGGATAAATTCTTCTTTTGATTTTTTTTCCCCTAATTTTCCCTGTTAAAATGTTCTGAGAGGTGATTTGGTTTTTTTTGGTGATTTGGGTTTTTAAACTGAACCTGAGTGCCGAAGGGTGGGTTAAACCATCCATGAAAGTTTGTTTAGTTAACATGATGGATTTTGAACATTTGTGCTGGATGGCTACATACTGTCTATAGGTACAAATAATTAAGAATATGGTATTGGTTAGGTCCCTTACAAAGGCGGTAGCATTGCTGACAGAAAGCATCTACAATAACTGACATCATCTTGGAACTACACTTCCCTTGCATTCCAGAATACATACTTTGGTGCTGGTTTCCAGATCCACTGGGGTATCTTCCAGAAAAATGTTTGTATAAGATTTTCATGGAAAAAGATTAAAAATATGTGCAATGCTTCTTTGAGTAAAGAAGGAACTCAAAAGTCACCACGGGTGGAGAGAGAAATGTCAAGTAACCACAGAAATGGTTTTGCTTGTGACAGCAGTTTGTCACGTTCAACGAGTGACGGCCTC